TTGGCACATTTTTAAGAATTGCACATACTCGGTATCCATGTACACATCGACCATTTTCACTTAAAAAAAACATCCCAGAATTACACAAAAATGGCATTGTGTTGATGACTTGACTTTATACATGTACACATCGACCTATTTTCACTTAAAACGTAAAAAAAAATTGACAAAAATCCAATTCTTCTTACTCCTGTAAAAAGCGCCAAACAAATAAGTGTGTGATTCTGCAATTTACCCAGTTAGAATAATTCTAAGAAATAAGTTTAAATGAAATGCAGCAAAAAGATGTGTATAATTTAATAGGCCAATACAAGGAAGTCATGTGGGGTCCACATCAGATTTTTTTTTCTTTTTTAAGTTAACCTTATACATGGGAAGAACTGTTGTTCCTGAGCTTTAAAAAATAAAAGTTAATAATATTCAGTCAAGAAATTTTCAATGTTTATTTATTATAATTTAACTAAAAGTAAAATCAAAATTTCCTATTTTCTGTTTTAATTATCATAAAACGTGGCGACTGGCAGAATAGTGTCTTCATACAGAATTAACAATACTCTCTTCATACAGAACATTCAAATAGAGACTTGTATTTATGTTACATATGCTGAAATTTGTACAAAAATTATGCTGGAGTGTGTGTGTGTAATTATGGCAAAGCCTCGAGGGCTATCTGCCTAAGAGGAGGGATGCCTTCGTGGAGGACTTTCTAAGGGAAACTGGCTCGTATACACGTTACACATGGGAAAAACCACGAAAACGCCCATGCAGCCAGCCCGTTCGCGGGATTTGAACCTCGGACCTAACTACCAGTGTTCAGCGACTTTACCGCTCGGACGCTGGTGGGCCTAAAATTATGCTGGAAGTGGTTCAATTATTAGCATTAGTTTAAAACTACAGCCAGCATGCAAATAACTTATTTAAAAAGCCAAATGTAACAAGTAGAGTTAGACAATTCGCTCCTGAAATTATTAATTTCATTGAGCAAGAGAATAAGATTCACCAAAAATGGAGCAATAAAGTGCAACTTGTAAGAATTCACCCACTGTGAGCTCTTTTTAGAACCATGCCAGGAAAATTCAATTCCTATTTTAGGAGAGATATATACTCATTCCTTTCCCCTCTTATATTAAAAGTGAGTTTAATTTTTATAATTTTTGAACATCTTTTTATTACAAAATTTTTTAGTTCTATGTAAAAATAGGGAATCTCAAAAACTACAGTTCAGAGAAATTAGTCCAGGGAGTTAACAGTTCAATTGAATCAGTACAGTCAAAAGTCGTTAATCCGGACTCTTCAGGACATCGGCGATTCCGGATTATAGATCATCAGTTTAAATCTGGTAAAATGGCATGAAGAAATTATAAAATTAAAAATATGAAACCGTAATTTACGAAATAAAGAACAATTATGATCTAAAGTTTATCAAAATTTACAAAAAAAAAAAAAGCTTAATATTTATTTGTTTACTTGGTTGATCTTTACAATATGGTAACTGGTAGTTTGGCGACATCTTGGAGGCGATAAAGGTTACTACCTGGGACTTTGGTAATAATGTGAGCAGTACTCAGTTCCGATTACGCATTATTTTCTGTGAGGGAAATGAGAGATCATGGGATATGTCATGTGATATTAATGGACGAATTACGGTTCTTGAATCGGAAAAGGGGGGAAATCGGGAAAAAATCTGGAAATTTTGTATTTGGTTTATTCTGTGTTGTGTGAAACAGTGTTCGTGAATTTTTGGATCCCATGGCCGTAACTAAAGAATAGTTTATCGGACACGTAATCAAGATTCTGAAGAAGATTAGGTAAGTTAGTATTTTTAATTATTTGAGGATATTATTTTTATGCATTGTTCTAAATGTAAGGTGGAAAGGAATTTTGTATTATTGGGAAAATTGGAAAATTGTATTAGCAATGATTTAGTTTAAAGTAATTAGGATTGTAAGGTAATTTTATTAATTTAATGTATGTGCTCATTTATATTTTAAGTAGTGTTTTTGAATTTAATTATATTTTAATGAAATGATAGTTATTTTTGTATAATGTAATAGATGATTTAGAGGTAAAAGTTTTTGGATATTTTATTTATTTTATATGTGGAAATGTTCATATTTGTAAAGGGTAAATACTTTTCCGCGATCAGGTAATTTCATATATGTTCTTTTTACCGGGTTTAAAGATTGAGAAAATTGTCATGTATTTTCGTGAAATTTTTCTAATTTATGAGAAAAAAGCAGTGTACATGGATATAGTGAAGAGTGTGCGCAATGCCATTTTTGTGCAATTCTGGGATGTTTTTCTAAGTAAAAATAAGTCGCCGTGTACATGGTTTATGTGTATGTGTTATTTTGAAAAACGTGTAAGGAGTATGGTATTGTGCACTTTTTCCCAATTTTGCAGTGAATATTTGTCATGATTAAGCAGTTTTGTTTGATAAAATTTCTAGCATAAGTGTAATTCGGCTACTAGATTGTTGGAAGAAGTGTTCAGTAGATAAAAAGAAAAGAAACATGTCTTTACTTCGTGAAGACAAAATGGCGGCGGGGAAAAAAAATAGAGGGTTGCTGTAGGAGAGTTGGTCGCCAAATTTTCGCCAAAAAAACGCCAAGTTACCATAATGTAAAGATCAACCGTTTACTTTATTAAACATTTCTTTCAATGTAAGTTGTTTAAGTTGCTTCATTTTTTATGTGATAATACATTCTCTTTAATTCTATAAACATACATAATTTCTCGTTCAGTTACAAAGTTCCGCTGTTCAAGTCCTATAATTGCTGTGTCGAGAATACCGACTAATTTGTCAATCGAAATTTTTTCGTTTTCAACAACCTCTGTCACTTTCTTCGCTATCAGAAGCGAATTATAATGATGAGGCATTTGATTTAAATCGTATCAAGACGGAGTATATCGAAATGAAATAATACATTTAGTAAGCAATTATAAGCCAAATAAAATAAAAACATGTGCCCTGAAGATAAGGATAGTGCTGACAGATCAACTTCCAATTCCTTGCGCGCCTGCCGCGGCGTTAAAGATAAACAAAGTTTAGATAAACAAACGTTTAAGTTTAGATAAACAAAGGATATGCCTTTATCCATTTTTTGCAGCAATTCCACTTTTTGTTTAATGGACTCCCCGAAACATACTTTCGCTTTGTAGATCCTTTACATATTAGTAAATATACATCAGAAATTCTATTTGACATAATCTAAAGTTCAAGCTTACTTTTATAAAATTGCTCTAACAGTCTGCAAAAAATAATAAGCCTGATCCAATTCGAAGATTAAGGAACAACGCAATCTGCGACATTACCTGAAATAGATAATTAGAGCTTAGCTTATACAGTCCGTACATTAAACGCACATTCGTAAACGTATTTTGCAGACACAAATTCGCAGCCGTAAAGGTCTTACGCGTCAACGCGACGCATGCGCAGAAAGTTTTTAGCTTTGATTATAGATCATTCCGGATAATGGGTGTCCGAATTAACGACTTTTGACTGTACTACAGATCTCATTGCTAATTCGATCCTTTCCACTCTTTGCTTGATTGTCATACATCATTCTTCACTCACTCCTCATTCAGATCTTATTCATCAGAGCTATGATTACCAAATAATGAGCTGTAAAAAAAAGAACTGATTCAATTTAGTACGTGAACAGCTTTGATCAGATCCTATAAACGTGTGGTTTTGCTCATCTCTAGTAATAAGAGGGTAGTAGAAAATTTGCAAAACATGTAATGCAGTTATATAATTGACAAAATGATAGTCTTCTTTTTTCCAATGATATAAAGATGGGTTAATCTTTGGATTATGGTAACTTGGCGTTTTTTTGGCGACCAACCCTGCTACAGCAACCTGCTAGTTTTGTTTTGGACGCCATTTTGTTTTCACAAAGTAAAGGCTTTTTTTTTTTTACTCAACATTTTTTTCCAACAATCTGCTAGCCGAATTACACTTATGCTAGAACTTTTATGGAACAAAAGTGCTTAATCATGACGAAGATTAGGTGCGAAATTGGGAGAAAGTGCAGAATTGCCCATTGCTTGCCGCGTTTTTAAGAATTGCACATACACGGTATCCATGTACACGTCGACCTATTTTCACTTAAAAAAATATTCCAGAATTGAACAATAATAGCATTGCGCACACTCTTCACTTTATCCATGTACACTGCTAAAGTCCTAGCTAGTAACCTTTATCGCCTTACCAAAATGTCGCCAAACTACCTGTTACCATATTCCAAAGATTAGCCTAAAGGTGCTCTTAAAATCAGTAATACTTCAAAAATAATTGAAAATTAAAGCATGTGTCACCATGCTGATGATATTTATATATAAAGAAAGGTACTATAAATATAGGATTCATATTTACCGCAATGATATCAGTGTTCATTTTGATTCATCTGCTATGGTCAAAGGAATTCCCCATATTCTGTACTATAAATGATCATGACATACGAGTCATATGTAAACTGTTAATCATGTTCGAAATTTAAAAAAAAAAAAAAAAAAATCTATGATCGATCACCAACCACTTTTTTACGTACATAAAGTTGTAACATAATATACAGAAATTGAAATATGAAAAAACATAAACTTCTCTTAAAACAGTTTAAATTACAGAAAATTTAAAAAAAAAAAAAAAAAATCTGATCTACTTCACGCAAGATTTAAAGAAAAGACTGTATGCAATTTTAGAAAACTTTACCTAATAGACCAATTTTATTTTTAAAATAAAACTTTACATTCGATAGGATAATTTTATTCTCGGCATAAGTTAGCAATCCTTACAAAGTACCTATTAATCTAGATGAATGCATTATCAACTAAAACATGATCATGAACAAGCAACGCTAATGTGCTGCAATACATTAAAATTTATAAAAATTCAAATAATAATAACAAATGCATGTCTTTCATTTTAACATTCTATATTCCTCTTTCATAAATAAATAAAGCAGCGAATATAACATCAGTAAACGAAGGAACCTCACTTTTAGTTGTGATATCCATTTTTAAAGATTCAGAATTAATATCATTAAAACAAAGAACAGACTACAAATATTTATCAGCGCTAATGTACTCTAGAACAGCAAAAAATCATTCTCCCGGCGACACGGAAGTAAAAGTTAAAGTTATTCGTTTGACAAATATGTCGATTCTTGCTCTGTTACACTTGTCCAGGCTAGGCGTACTCATGTAAAACTCTATGTAAAAAACTAAAATAGTCCAGAATGTTGTTCTTCGCAAATTACAAATGCACCGTACTATATTACAAACAATGCAATTCATGCGAAACTACGAATGATTCCACTGAGAAGTTTTTACTACCACCTGTCCAGACAGTTTAACATTCATTTACACATTATAAGTAACTCTGAACCAAGGAGGTCTATTCTAACCTCCTTGCTCTGAACTCAGAATTTATAATAACGATTAAAAGTACGATAATAATAAAAAACCAATGTTCATTCTCAATCCAAATGTAATCACGGAAGTCTGATATACTTTGATTTGTATTTATTTTGTCTATTTGGATAAGGTTAGGAGAACAGCCTTGGTTGCGCCAACTTGGCTCCTTTTAGGATATGGGCGACATTTCATTATGCCGACGGAAGTAAATATCGTGGAGAATAGGTGCTAGGGAGAAAAGGAAAATACATGGGGAAAAACGGGATTAAAAGATGTGTTTCTATTTGTTTTAGTATCTGATTGCTAATTTTGTACTGTTATGTTGCTAAATTAGCATTAAAAGTCGAGTAATGTGCGTCTATTGCGAAAACGCAGGGCAATTACTTTTCCCTCCGATTTTATATATGTATTAATATATCACATTCCTCCTCATATGATCTACATATGTATCAGATAACTAGCTACTTTTGACACTTATTTCTGGATGTGTACTATTATTTTCTAACTTTTTCTGCTTTGAAAACCCAAGTATTGAAATATTATGTGTTTGCTTGTGAAAATATTATTTCGGATATTCTCGTATAACTAACTATACTATAATCTCATATATTGACTTCTCATATAACGACTGGCGCTGCGATCACGAAAGCTGGAGGCAGTGTCTAAACATAGCTCCGAAATTTTTTAAATAAGTAATAAATCAGTAAATGTTTTCAACTCTCTAAAAACGTTTAATGCACCTTTCCTATGCAATATCTCATTCATCAAATTGAAAAAGGAAATTTCGCTTCTTCGAAACTTCAGGTGTTTTGTTAGCTGTTCACTATCAACACGAGAAATCCAAAAGAGACCCTGACACGGAATATTCAGATAAGTAACATTCTGTTCTCTATACAATATCTGTTTATCTATCACTAGAGTGCCATTAAATTTCTTTATTTATTATTTTTTCATAAGATTCTAGCATTATACAATAGTTGGTAATAGTAGCAGGTCGTGTGGTTCTTTTCTTCGTAACTTTTCCATAGAGACGCCACATTCCCTATCAGTAGTCCGTTCTTATCAGCAACTCACACCCTTCGGAGGCCCCCCCCCTTTTCGTGCTTAGGAATTTCTTGACAGGGAAAATGGGGATCTCTTGACCATCGATGAGCATAGATTGTGATTTTTGTAACTAAGATCCTCGACTTTTTTTTTTTTTTTTTTTCAGATCTCAAACTTAGAATTATGAGCAAATATAAATACAGCGTGACGGAATTTGTTAAATTTGTACTAGAATAAATTGCAACGGTTAAATTAATAAATTAATTTATATTTAACTAATATTAAGAAAAATAAACTGTAAAATTTATTTTTGCTGAAATGCTCTCACACTGTGTATGGATTTATGATTTTGTCAATTACTGTTTTTCTAAAATATACATGAATTTTTTGGGAACGATAATATTTAATGTTACTTTAGTTAAAATATTATGTACATCTCTGTGATGATATATGTCTTTTCTAGTTAGGACTCAAGATAAGAGCATACACATTACCATGTGAACTCCTTAACTACACTCATGGACACAATTGTATTTTAAGATATTTTCTACTTCTTTTCCTTTTCTTTCTATAGGCCTTTTTTTTTCCTCTATTAGTTTTGGGCCATTTATTTTAAATTTTATTTTGTCCCATCTTTTCTTTCTGGCCTTTTGAACTCGTAAAAAATGTACAAAGTTCCTTTTTACTCTCCTCAAATACGAAATTGCCCCTCTTTCTATATACCTTTTCTTTGCACCAACGCTTGATTTTTCCTTCATCGGTGCAGAAAGACTTAGCGGGTGCTTTGTCTGTCTGTCTGTCTGACTTCTCATATAACTACGATAGAAATATGCTTCTATTATTTACTTTAAAAATGCAGTATTTAATAGCCGTCCACATAATAGCCATTCTAGAATTAGTTCTGTAATGCTTTATAATGTTAATTGCTTTATGCATTATTTTGTCTAAATATTAATTTTCATAAAGAATATATAATCAATATAGAGAACGCGAGTTCAATATATTTTAAAGACAAAGATAATAAACAAAAATAAAAGGGAGACTACACGTGCAACCAGATAAAAGTGACCATATTCTAAAGAAAGTTAATAAACACAAAATGATGTGAAAGTATAGCCCATGCCACGAAAATCGCTGAAGTATTATTTCTGAGTGGTAAAGCAGAACATATATATCTGAGTGCAATTTTTGTATCTAAAATAAAATATGTTATTAGTTGCTGATAATGAAAACGTAAGAAAACAATTTTTATGGATAAGAAATTTATGTAGCTGAGTATTGAAAGTCTGATACTTCATCGACACTGAAATAACAATTTATATATTGTATGAAAGTGAAAAAAAAGTGTTGTTTTTTTGAAAACTTCACAAATCTGAATAATTTTCAGAACATATTCTTAAAACAAATTAAGAATATACTGTTTCTTAGAAGTTATTTTTTTATAATTATATGCCATATACTTTATATACAGATCAAGTATGGCCAAACTGAGACTCGGAATTCATAATTTACTCACGTAATAAGCAACTCGCGTTGTTTTGCTTTTGAAACTTCATTGTCATTTGCAACAGAATTTGTGTGTCTTTTTAATAATTACTAATTTAATTTTTTGAAATGACATTGTGTGTACAATTATTTCAAACTATGCCTTATTTGCTAATCTCTGATAAGTAAAAACAAAAGTCAAACAGTGCCATATCTGTAACTACCATGTTGATATTACTCTTGAAATGTGTAGTAGTCATTAGCGAAGCAGAAAAGATAAATGTTTTTTATCCTGGTAGCACCTTCATTCATAATGTACCTCAAATCGTACTGAATGCCCTATATATATCTGTACTGTGATTTGCATTAGGAAATACAAAACATATCTAATGATCCAAACAGAGTCGTAGCTAGGGTTTTCACCGCCCAGGGACAAGTGAAGATTTCACGCCCCCTACTGCTTGCCAAGGATGGAAAACATTTAATTCTAAAATGTCGTAACATCAGTTTGGCGCCCTTTGGATTCTGCGCCCGGGGACAGATGCCCCCCTTTCCCCCTCTAGCTACGCCCCTGGATCCAAATTTCCAACGAATTAGTTGTTATGTGATGCAAGAGTAAGGTTTGGTCCTTATATTGATCCTGAAGTGGGCTGAAGCGTGGCCTTCGAGATAACATGGCCTGGTTAGCTACGAGTGACGTCACGAAAGGCGTTTGATCCTTCCGTGACTTTCTTTGCTTCAGATTTGAATACGAGCGTTTCGTTCGATGTTTAGAGTGTTTTGTTTTTAATAATGCATAATAATTAAATTTCCAGAGACTTGACTGGAAAACGTATATAAAAGGTCGTATATTCATTTGCAGTTAAGATTAATAACTTTTAATAAATATTTTTTTCTAAGAAATATTAACGAAATTTTCTATGCCATGTTTTAGGTTATCTTGTGCATTTTTTTTACACTGTATTGTAATAATTTGTTAGGATGCACTCTAAAAAGAAAGTTTTGAAATAAGTAAATAAAAAGGCTGTTATTCATTAACATAAAAATGTCTTTACATTTTGAGAAGGAGAGGAATGAAAGGAATGAAAAGATTTAGAAATATAAATAATTCACTAACAAAAGTAAATATAATTTAGCAAATTAAAAGACATAAAAAATTATTTTTCCTTAAAACTATAAATATTTCAGAGCTTCCAAACATTATGCAAATGCATTTTTAATTCATTTAAATTACTATCTAATAAAATGAATAGCAGTTCAAAAGCCACAGAAAAAATTTAAATCCCCAATTTTTAAATTAAATAAATTACAATTTTGCTGCACCATTACAGAAAACGAATAGCTTTCACATATTTATGTGTTATCTATAACAATAATTATAATAATATTTACATTATTACTTATATGTAGCTGCATAATAAATAATATATTTACAAATAAAAGCCATCCATATAATGTTTCACAAAAGCGTAAAATCAATAAATTTGCCAACGAAAACCGCAAAACAACTATCCATAGAACAAACCATCATTTCTGTCTAATTAGCAAATACTGTGCAAGTTGTACTAGTATACTGAAGCAATAATTAATCGCAATTGATAATTTATTTTGAAAAAATTATGGAAGTATTATCAAATAATAAGGAAACAGCAAAAGGATTAATAAATTTAAATGTAAAAGATACATTATTGAAAATATATTTGAACTGCATCATATTTAGTACACTATTTTTAAAAAATAAAACAAATGTCATTTCAACATATCACTCATATCTATCTCTTCATCAAGTATTCTTGACTTTTTCAAGTTTCCTTTCATCGGATTTTTGAATGCATATTATTTTGAAGAACTTTAGTATAATTGTTTAAACAAATATTTGAAATAATGGTGCTCATTATTTTTTTTAATCTGCTAGAAAAGGGAATTCCACACATTAAACAAGTTTCATGAACATCAAACATGTTAATGTTTTGTACATATATCTCGGTAAGTTTGACCAGTAAAGAATGTTGTTGTTATCTTCTTTACTTTCAAATGGAACAACTTCATCTCCTAGATAAACTGCTATATCCATATGAAGCGATACAAAGATACTTTTCTCAATTTTAGGATGTGGATGAAAACCGAACAATAAAATATAAATACCAGCAGCAGATTTGTGTAAAATAATATTTGAAGTATCTGGAATATTTAA